GGATAAGGATGGGATTGGGATGAGAATGGGGCTGGGATAGAGTGATGGGGGATAGGAATGGAAATGGAGATGGGATGAAATGAGGATGGGGTGGGGTGGGGGTGGGACAGCGATGGAGATGGGGATGAGATGGGGTTGGGATGAAATGGGGATGGGGTGGAGTTGGGGGTGGGGATGGATGGGGTCAGATAGGGATGGGGATGAAGTAGAGTCGAACAGAGTGGAGCACAACAGAACGCAGTGCATGCAGCTAGGCCAGAAAGGTGACAGCCAGCAGCGACCTGCCCACAGCCCTGAGCGTGCTGCAGGTAGCAGAGCTGGGAGCAGCAGCCCTGCGCCGCCCCGCTGGACCCCTCGGACAGCTGGAATTATTCATTTCCTTCTTTATCGGCGTCTGGATTTTGTACATGGACCAAATGTGCGCGTCGTTACTCAGCAACATCAACCGCTTCGTTCCTTAACCAGAAGTTGTGCTCAGCACAATCAGTTTATATCAAATGCAGCTTGTAATTACTTAATTCAGCCCGGCTGCTCTTCCTGCACGGCTGTGAGCTCAGAGCCCCCCCGGCTCCCGCGGGGGGAGGAAGGGGCCGCTGCCACCTCTGTGCCACTCCGCCGTACGCTGGGACCGAGGAAACAGAGCGGGGACGGAGCAGCCCAAAGGCGGAGCGGTGCGGCACCACCCGCGGCACCACGCTTTGCTTCGGCGCCCCCCAGCCCGAACGCGGCCCCGCGCCCCGCCGACCTCCGCCCGCCCGCACCTTCGCTCTCCCGCCACCGGCGGCGCGCCACCCCGTTCCCGCGCTCCCCGCCCCGATTTCCCGGGCTCCGCCCCTTTTTTTCCAGGCCCCGCCCCCTCCGCGCCGTTCCCGCGCTCCCGCCGCTCTCGCGAGGCCGCGCGCGGTGCCATGGCGGGGCCGTGCGGGAGGAACCTGCCGTGGTGCGGGGCGGGCGGTGGGACGGGGAGCGGGGGGGGAAGGAGGCGGTTCGGGCTGAGCTGAGCTCTGCGCCCCGCAGGGTGGAGAAGTACCGTCCGCGGGCGCTGTCGGAGCTGGTGTCGCACCGGGACATCCTCAGCACCAGTGAGTGCCGGGACCCCGCCGAGGGGATGCCCGGAGCCCCCCGCGCCCCCTCTCAACCCCTCGCTCTCCCCGAGTCCCTGCACCCCTCCCGGCTCCGTGCCCCCTCTCGTACCTCTCCCTGCTCCCACCTCCAAGCACCCGCGATCTCCCCCGTGCCTCCCTCCCCCCCCCGTGCCCTCGAGCCCTCCAAGCCACTGTGTCCCCTCCCAGTTCCATGCCCCCACCAATGCCCGGTGCCCGCCCCCCCCATGTCCCTCCAACCCCCCCTGCCCCCGGTCCCCTGTAACACCCCCAGTCCCGTGTCCCCCAAGTCCCAGTGCCCCCTCCCAAGCCACTACGACTTTCTTATTGCCCCCTCATTGCCCTCCCCAAGCCTCTGTGTCCCTCCCAAGCCGCTGTGCACCCTCCAATCCCCTATGCTCCTATACCTCCAAACCTCCCCTCTTCCCTCCCCAAGGCCCCCTACCCCCAGCCGTGTCCTTGTGTCCTCCAATCCCCCGTGAGCCCCATAAGGCCCCCAAAGTCCCCGCGTCCCCCCCTCCTCCCAGTCCAGCGGTTCATCAGTGAGGACAGGCTGCCCCACCTCCTGCTCTATGGCCCCCCCGGCACCGGGAAGACCTCCACCATCCTGGCTTGTGCACGGCAGCTCTACCGCGAGCGGGAGTTCAGCTCCATGGTGCTGGAGGTACGAGGGGGGTCCTGGGGATGGGGGGGGGCGCTCAGCTTTGGAACCCCGCGCCCCCACCACCATCTCCATCCCCGCAGCTGAATGCATCGGATGACCGCGGCATCGACATCGTTCGAGGGCCCATCCTGAGCTTTGCCAGCACCAGGACCATCTTCAAGTGGGTGGGGGGCACCGAGGTGGGAGGGGAGGAGCAGGATGCAGGAGGAAGGGATAAGGACAAGCAGATGAGGACAGCAGTACGGGGACAGCGGGGCAGCACGGATGCTGGCCCAAAGGGGAAAAGTGTGCACAGAGTACTTCCACACTGGGAAGAAGCATCTCCATGTGCCATTAACCCCCAGCCCTGCAGCCTCCGAGAGGCAGCTGGCAGCAAAGCCCCCTCATCTCGCTCTGTCCCAGGAAAGGCTTCAAGCTCGTCATCCTGGATGAAGCTGATGCCATGACACAGGATGCACAGAATGCTCTGCGACGAGGTCAGGGGTGAGGGGTGGCACTGCTGGTTTCCCCTCATCACACAGGGCTGCAGTCACGGGCTCCAGCCTCTCTCCCCTGCTCTTATGCAGTGATCGAGAAGTTCACCGAGAACACCCGCTTTTGCCTCATCTGCAACTACCTCTCCAAGATCATCCCCGCCCTGCAGTCCCGCTGCACCCGCTTCCGCTTCGGGCCCCTCACCCCAGAGCTGATGGTGCCCCGGCTGCAGCACGTCATCCAGGAGGAGGGGTGAGATGGGGGGCCCTGCCGTGCCCTGCTCCCCCCCAGGGCCAGGCGCTGCAGCCCCATCTCCCACCCCAGGGTGGACGTGAGTGAGGATGGGATGAAGGCGCTGGTGACGCTCTCGAGCGGTGACATGCGCAGAGCCCTCAACATCTTGCAGGTACCGCTTTGCCACCTCAGGCCCCACAGTTGGCCCACGGGCAGAGAGCTCTTCCTCCCTCCTCCTCTTCCTCAGAGCACCTCCATGGCCTTTGGGAAAGTGACGGAGGAGAACGTCTACACCTGCACAGGACACCCCCTCAAGGCTGACATCGCCAACATCCTCGACTGGATGCTCAACCAGAACTTCTCCACCGCCTACCGCAGTATCCTTTGCTCCTCTGCTTTGGGTTTGAGCCCCGTTGGGGTTAAGTCCTCTTTGCCTCCTGCTGTGGCAGGGGCAGGGTGGGTTCGTGCTGCGCTGTGGGCAGGGTTCCACTCCCTGTTGGGGTGTTGGGTGGTGCAGGGATGCGTGAGGAGCCCCTTCACTTCCTGCCATCAGAAATCATGGAGCTGAAGACACTGAAGGGCCTGGCTCTGCAGGACATCCTCACCGAGATCCACCTCTTTGTGCACAGAGGTGGGGGTTCTGTGGGGCCGGCTCCCAGCACGCCGCTCCCAGCCCTGCACTGATTCACATCGCTTTCTCCCTGCAGTTGATTTCCCACCCTCAGTCCGCATCCAGCTGCTGATCAAGATGGCAGACATTGAGTAAGTAAACATTTTGGGGTGCTGCTCCCCTAACACGCCGAGCTGCTGCTGGGAGACAATATCCCTGGTGCACATCCGTGCGCTGTTTGCTTCACCATGCTGCTGGTGCACACAGCTGAACTGGCTGTGCCTCCTGCTGCAGGTACCGGCTGGCTGCAGGCACCAGCGAGAAGGTGCAGCTGAGCTCCCTCATCGCAGCATTCCAGGTCACCAGGGACCTGATCGTGGCCGAAGCGTGAGTCGGGCAGGGGCTGCCCCACGTCTGCTCTGTGTGCTTTGTGGTTCCTTTCTGCACGCGTCAGGCATGCAGCCCGAGGAACAAAAGACAGGCAGCGTTGTGTCTACACTTCATTGGGAAATGCAAATATCTCTGAAGCCAAGCAGGTTGTTGCAGTGGTCTTTTGTTTCCTCCCCCTATCACAATGGCAGAAAGGAGCAAGTCGAGCCTCTCCCCCATGCCTGCATCCCATTGCAAATAGCTCCTGGCTTGGGCTTTGGTCCACACTGCTCTCCACAGCACATGGGGAAGAACTCAAAGTACAACCCAGCCGACCTTGTAGAGCTCAGCACAGCTTAACCACGCTGCTGGTGGGTTGTGGAGCAGCTGTCACGCACCCACACGGGCTGCAGCATTGCTGGGGCCCTCCTATGCAGGGCAGCACTGCTCCAGCTGCTCACATGCTGAGGAAGACAAGCATGGCAGGCTGGGACTGAGGTTTTTGCCGCCCTGTTGCTCAGACAGGAAGGCAAGGAGGCTGCACTGGGACAGAGCACTTCCGTGCAGTGACAGCCCCTGTGACAATGGTAGCATGCGGGTTTGTAGGTCACATCGCTACCTGAAGCACTAAGGAAGCACCAGCTCTGTAGGCTTAACTGCTTGCAAAGGAAAGCATCCCAAGGAGCAGCTCTGAGGACATTCCCCAGCTTCTCCACCAGCTGGGTCAGCCCAGGGCTCCTGACAGTCTGCTAACACACAGGGGATGCTGCACGTGCCCTCCCTGCAGCCACCAGCTCAGCTGCAGCAAGCCACACACACGGGCCCACTGCATGCACAGCACAGCAGGTCTGCACACCAGCAGCAAGCTGCTCAGTGCCAAGTCCTACAGGCAGGCGTGGGGGTGGGAAAAGCAGCCAAGGAATGAAAGCAGGGGGCTGCATGAAGCCATGTCCTGCTCTCACAGTTACACACGAGGATGGATCCTCCCCAGCACCCACCACTGTCCATCTGCTGCTCTGACTGACTCAGAGCTGCAGCATAGGAGGGCTGGGGGCCCTGAGCCCCAGCCAGGCTTCCCCAGTTCACTTCTACAAGCAACAAGGGAAGGAGTGAGGAATCATCTTTTATTCTGTCACTGCTGTCATTCAGCCTGCAGAGACCGGCTCAGGTTTGTCATGCCCAGACCCTGAGAGCAGCAGAGCCCTCATCCCTCCAGGAACCAAGGTACAGGCTGCTCCTGGCGCAGGGTGCTGTTGTCAGGGATGGCTGTGGCCCCAAATTTGTACTGACAAACACTTGCTCAGACTGCAGCTGCTAATCTTCACCCCACAACATTGCACTTGGAAGCAAAAGCACCTGACCCAAAACTTGCAAATAGCAGGAGGACAGGGGGACCAGAGCTGTCCCCAGGTTGTGCCGTGCCCCTTGCACTCTGCAAGCATTTTTGCTGGGTTCTAGTATTATTACACAAAAAAATACCTCCACGTTCACAGACGGCCCCAAAACGAGGGGAGCAACAAGTCCTGCCCCACAGCTCACAAGCCTCTGGTGCTCTGCGGGGCAGCCAGCCCTACCACGAGGCAGAGGGCTCTCACCTCCTTGTCTCTGATACCTCAGAAAGTCCGGTAGGTGAGGAACTCCTTCAGCTTCCTGGGAATGGGCAGTGCGAGGACCTGGTACGTGGTCAGGAAGGTGCGCAGGGCTTTGCGGCACAAGTGCTTGAGTGACGAGAGGACTCTTGGAGCCGTCCAGAACTGGACGTGGCCATCTCTGGTCCTGCAATGAGACCCAAAAGGCTTTGAGCAAACACCCAACGCCGCACAGAGAGAAGGAAGCACAATCAGCCCCAAATATCCCGAGCTTGCAGCAGCCCCACGCGCTCCCCATCCTGGAAAATCAGCTCACGCTCCCAGGCTGGTTTCCCTGGAGCCTCCCCCAGCAGATATACGCACCCTGTGGCAATGAAGCCACCGTGAGGGAAGTACATGCAGCATAAACCATTTGTCATGGGAGCAAACGCCACTGGAGATCGCAGCTCCAGCGCCCAGATCCTCAGGAGCCTAAGGGGAAAAGGACACAATGCTAGGCAGTGCCTGCAGCTAAAACAAAGCTTCTGGGGCCACTTGAATGCACGTAACGGAAGGGTTTTCTGTCATGGACTTAGAGCCCCCCAGCATGACATCTCAGCAGCCAGGCAGAAGCGCCGACCCCTGCAGAGTTGAGCTGGATGACAGACCAGCACACAGGTGCAAGTCCAAGCCCTTTGCTCAGGAAGATGACAAGGCTCTGATCTTGCTGCTCCCTGCACAAACAGGGCTCTGAGCGCAGTGGTCTCTTTGACACGTGAATTTTGCTCCCCATTAGGATGCCCCAAGCCCCTGGTGCGCATTGGTGTGTCCTCCTTGAACCCTCTTTCCCTCTGGAAACCTCAAAAGAGGATTAACTCGCCTGTCATCTGCCACCGTGGCCAGGTACAGGCCCTCTGGGGAGAAGCAGACCGACCGCAGGGAGCTGGTGTGGACATCACTGCTATACTCCAGTGCTGAGTGCAAGGGGACATGGCTGCAGGGAGGAAAACAAGCTCAGCATCAAGGCCACGCTCAACTCCACCAAACTCTCATAGCACCCCTGTGTCCCCACCGCATGGTCCCCACAGCCCCCAGCTCCGTACCGCAGAGTCCTCAGCTGCTCCCCAGTGTAGGGGTCCCACATGATAACACAGGTGTCATACGAGGCAGTGACCAGGAGCGCTGAGTCTGGAGAGAAGTCACACGACACCACGCTGCTCTGGTGCCCCTCCAGCTTGCGGATGAGTGTGTAGGACCGCATACTCCACAGCAGTGCCTGTGGGGCGCAGCGGAGCTGAAGCTGGGAGCGCTCCCAGGGCTGGCTCTCACCTTCCCCTTCTTGCATGGGGAAAGCAGGATTCAGTGGGACACAGGACTGGCTCCACCCTGTGGGACTCACCGACTTCTCTCCAGCAGCTGAGCAGAGCATGCTGCAGTCAGGGGAGATGGAGCAGCAGTAGACCCACTGCACATGGCCTGTCAGCACCTGCACCTGCCGCCCTGGGACAGCAGACAACGAGTCAGGAAGAACAGAGCTGCATTCTGCCACAACTGCTCACCTAGCTCTGCTCCCGAGAGGGAAAAAGGCATGCAGGGCTGGGGGATTTCTTACGCACGTCCCCAGTGCTCTATTTCAGTACTGGAAGAGAGCTTATAAAAAAGATGGAGACTGACCTTCTACACAGGCAGAGTGTGATTAGAGGAGGGGGAATGGTTTAAAACTAAAAGGGGAGATTCAGGTGAGATGTTAGAAGGAAATTCATTACTCAGAGGGCAGTGGGCTGCTGACCCAGGCTGTCCTGAGTGCTGCGGGTGTCCCATTCCCAGCGGTGCTCAAGGCCACAAACGGACCCTGATTTGGTGGGGGGCAGCCAGCCCAGGGCAGGGTCTGGAGAGGCTGTGAGGTCCCTTCCAACCCAGCCATTCTAAGACTCTATTTACAACCCCTTCCTGCAGCTCTCAGGTCCCGCCTGGGAGCAGAGGCCTCTGCTGTGTCCCAGAATGCCCACTTCTACCTCAAATACCATCCCAGAGCCCCTCTGCCATGGTCTCTCCTTCCAAGGTGGCTTGGTGCCCTCTCCTTGCCCACAGTGGAATACAAGTTTCAAAAAGGGGTGACCGAGCACCAGGGCCATCCCCACTCTCTCCTACCATCCCTGCTAAGGTCCCAGACGCGCAGGGTCCTGTCCCGCGATGCCGACACCAGGATGAGGCTTCCATTGGGCGCAAAGCTCAGGTCCCTGACGACATCCTGGTGCCCCAGAAGGCTGAAGAGAAGATGACCTGCAGAGAGCGGCCACGTCAGTCCCCCTCACACCCACACTCTGCTTGGGCTGGAGCAGCAGCTCAGGAAATATTTGGGAAGGACGGAGCAGGATCTCCACCAAGGGCAGAGTGCTTCCTGACCTCATCCTGGCGCCGCACAGCCGCTCACCTGTCTGCACCTCCCACACCTTGATCTGCCCGTCGTTGAGGCCGGTGGCCAACACCTGGCAGCACAGCCCTGCCGCCCCATCAGGGTGCCGTGCCGCCGGCCAGGCGCTGAAGGCCAGGCCCCACACAATCTGGCCACACTCCAAAGTCTTCTCCTTGGCTCCTGCCCGGCTCCGCTTCGCCTCTGCTTTGTGGCTCTTGCGCTCCGAGGCCCTACAGCTGCAGAGAAACGGCAGAACGGCGATGGGCAAAGGGCACGGAGGCCATCAGCTCAACACCCACAGCACCGCCCGCACTACTCACAGCTCAGTCTCCTGCAGCGGCCACGGGATCAGCTTGACCAGGCAGTGGCCCTGCGACCAGGCGAACCAGGCGCCGTCGGACGAGAAGGCCACGCTCCATGTCTCACAGCTCGACTTCCAGTCATACTGCTGGGGCCGGCCTGGCTTCAGCTCCGCCAGCAGCACAGGCTCCTCTGGGCAGAGGGATAGCGGGTCACCAGCAGGCCTGGGCCTGAACCAGGCCTGGGCCTCACCTGGGCCTGGGCCTCACCTGGGCCTCACCTGCGACTGGGCCTCAACTGAGCTGGGCCTCACCTGGGCCTGGGTCGGGCCTGGGTCTCGCCTGGGCTCGTGCCCCCGCCTGCCCCGTGCCCACCCCCGTCCCAGCCAGCCCGCTCCGCCTGCCCCCAAGGCCTCACCTGCGCTCGGCTTCATGGCGGCCCGCCCGCCCCGGGGAGGCCTGCGGGGCTGGGCGCGGCCTCCCCGGCCCTCGGAGGCACCGGGCCGCACCGAGCCCCGCCGCCCGCCTCCGCCTCCCTCCGCCGGGCCCGCCCCGTGCGGGGCGGGGGCTGTGATACGGAGCGGCAGCCGCCGCGGCCCGGCTTTCCGTCACCGCCCCCCGCGGGGTGGGCCTCGGAGCCGCGCCCGGGACGGGTCGGACGGCAAACGCGGGGTGCGGCGGAGGCGGTGCTCGCTGGGGGCGGCACTCCGAGGCACGCCGGGGTGGTGGCCCTTGCGACAGCCCTGTCCGTGCTGCCGTGAAGATGCAGTGGCCATAGGGGGCACTCGGTGGCAGTGGCACCTGAGGACCCGTCATCCATATGGGGACACCTTCTGACAGTGCCACCCCAGACACCCCATGGGCACAGCCCCTGGCAATGCCGTGCTGGGACCCATCTTCTCTATATGGGGACACCCCTGGCAGTGCCACGCTGGGAACCCAGCACACAAAACCGACGCTCCCTGGCACTGTCCTTTCAGTGACCCAGTGCCTATAAAGCAATACTCTCTGGCACTGCCCTCGCTGTGGTGAGGACACAACACCCATATGGGGACACCTCTGGCAGTGCCACGCTGGAGACGCGGTGCCCATAGGGGAACACCCCCTGCAGTGACCCCCCAGCGACCCAGTGCCCATCTGAGCCATCCCCGTGGCAGCAGCGCCCATACAGGGACACTCAGTGCCACGGCAGGTACCCAGCACCCCGATGGGCACAACCCCTGGCAGTGCCATCCCAGGACATCCATGTGGGACATCATCTCAGCAGTGCCACCTGGGTATCCGGTGCCTGCAAAGTGCTGCTCCCTGCCACGCCACCCTGGTGACAGAGAGCCCATCTGGGGACCCGGCACCCACAAAGGTGACACCTCCTGGCAGTGCCATGCTGCAGACACAGCACCCATATGGTGACACCCCGTGGTGGTGGCACTCTGGGGACCCGACGCCCACATGGTGCCACCCACCTGCCAACACCTCCCATGAGTCACTCACAGGAGACATCTGCTAACACCCAGAATTATCCACCAAGTGCCCCCCCAGTATGGCACGAAGCAGAGGGGACAGCATACAGAGCCCCCCACACCACCTCCATCTTCCCCCAGATCAGGGTTCCCCAACACAGCTGCACTGGTGCAGACGGACAGACAGACAGACGAGGAGGATACACCTGCCACCCCCCCAGCTTGGGGACAGTCCCACTGCCACCCGGCTGTGACGGGACAGAAGCCACCCCCAGGAGGGGGGGGAGGGGGGGACACTCAAAGGGTGACAGGCGCTCTATGCCTCAGTTTCCCTATAGCAGGGCACAGGTCCCAGGCATGGCTTCACCTCCCCTGGCAGCAGTGAGCTCCTGATAGATGTGAGCCCCACGCTGCGGGGTTTTGGCCACCGTGGGCACAGGGCCAGCCCACCCAGCTCGCCTGCTGCCGCGTGCCCGCGCACTCCAGCACAGAGAAAAACAAACCCAGAAGCAGCAAAGGAAGGAGTGGCAGAGGGACGCGGCAAGGAGGAGGAGGAGGAAGAAGAAGAAGCGGGGCCTCACAGCCCCTCCGGAGTTGTGGGCTGCCCCCAGACTCCCCCTCCAGTTCGCTGCCATGGCCAAAAGCACCTCGCTGTACTGCCGGCTGGTGGAGGGGAAGGAGCTGCCTGCCAAGGACGTGTGAGTGCTGCTTGGGGATCTCTGCCCCCCACCCAGGGGGCACGGGGCACTGGGGGGTGCTGCTCTCTGCCCGTGGTTTGGGGGCTTCCTGCTTTCATCCCTGCTGGTTGCGGCTCATTTCAGCGAGGAGGGGGTCTGCTGAGGCTAGGGGGCCCCTTTGCAAGAAGATCTGCACCCCTGAGACACCCCCTCACCGCCTCCCCTGGGACCCATAAAGCTGTTGGGGTGACTCCATATAGCAGGGTCTCATATGGGACCGCCCCATCCGGGGGCTGCAGCACCTATCCTGGGACCCCACAGCTGGCAGAGCATCCCTTTGTGGGGGGGGGGAAGGTTTCCAGCATCACAGCCAGCCCCCAGGCAGGAGAACACCTAGCACCCCTTGGGTGCATCGTCTGTGAGCCAATGCCCAGCCCTCACTCTGGGGAACCAGCTCTTCTTTTCTACCTTGCTGCAAAGGGTTAAGCCCAGGCAGAGGCTGGTGTCACCGTGTCACCATGTCACCATGACACCTTTCCAGCCCCACGCCCTGACACAGGGAAGTGGGTTGCTACAGAAACTCGGGCATGGCTGCGCAGCTGGCACAGACACCCAGGGACATGGGGATGCATGGTTGAGATGACCCCCGGGTCCCCCAGCTCAAAAGGTGCCAGGAAAAATGTCCCCAAGCAGGGCATCCAGCTAAGACTGAGCAGCTCAGCGCACCCGTGGCCATGGGTCTTGTGGCCAGTGCCCTGGTGAGCCCTTGGGGTGCTTGCCTCAGGGAACACCATGGGGTGCTGACCCCCCCGTGTCCCCTTTCTCCTCCTAGCTCTGGCTCCAGTGATCCCTACTGCGTGGTCAAGGTGGACGATGAGGTGGTTGCCAGGTAGGTGACCATCCCACCATGGGAAGGGGACACAGGGTCTGGATGGAGTGCCCATGGGGGTCCTCTGCCCACAGAACAGCCACGGTGTGGAGAAGCCTGAACCCATTTTGGGGCGAGGAGTTCACCCTGCGCCTGCCCAGCGGCTTCCACAGCCTCACCATCTATGTGCTGGATGAAGACACCATCGGGTAGGGGGCAGCGGGGCAGATGGCAGCGGGTGGACAGTGGGGTCAGCACCACTCTGGGGTGGCCGTCCCCATCGGTGTCACCCTGCAGGCACGATGATGTGATCGGCAAAGTGTCACTGAGCCGCCAGCAGATCTCAGCACAGCTGCGGGGTGAGCAGGGGCATGGGGAGTATGGGGGGCATAGGGCTCATCCCCGTGCTGGGGGTGCCCACCCCGTGCCCCCTTTGTTAGGCATTGACAGCTGGCTCAGCCTGGTGCCTGTGCACCCTGACCAGGAGGTGCAGGGTGAGATCCACCTGGAGGTGAAGATGCCTGAGCAGGGCCACCCGCGGGTGCTGCGCTGCCGCCTCATTGCAGCCAGGTAGGGATTGTGTCACCACCAGGGTTTGTGTTTGGGTCAGTGGGGTTGGCTGGATGGTAGGGGGTCAGGGCTGCCAAGAGTGGTCATCACTGTGTCCTGCTCAGGGACGTTGCTGCTTGCAGCCTGTGTGTCACGATGCTGTGGGGTCTCAGCACCTGTGCCACACTGCTTGGGCACTGCCAGCCCTGCTGGGAGCCGGGCTGGGGACTGAAGGCAAGGGACTGTGCTGTCCCTGGGGATACTCCCATGGGGCAGACAAGATTTCATATGGCATTTCTCCCCATTTGTTTTAAAATTGGGGAAACTGAGGCAGCCCCACTGCCTTTGAAGGAGGTTGGGATGGGGCTGCTCTATGTGAGCGTATGTGTGCCCATGTGTGCATGCGTGTGCACACGTGTGTGTGTTTGTGTGCCCGCACATGCGGCTGCCAGACCGGAGGCTGTTGGCAGAGCAGCATCCTGCTGCCATGGCGACCAAAGCAGCTGCCATGGCAACCAGATGGCCATGGGGACAGCCAGGAGGGACAGCAGCATCTCCACTGTGCCCTGTGCCCCCCAGGGACCAGCTGCCAGCATCCCCTCCCTGGTGCCACCTGACACACAAGTGCCTCACTGCATCCGTGGTGACACAAGGGGACAGGGGACAGTGCCGAAGGGGCCGGGTACCCACAGCATCCCCCTGACCCCCATCCTCCCACAGGGACCTGGCCCCCCGGGACCCCTCAGGCACATCAGACCCCTTCGTCCGGGTGTCGTGCTGTGGGCACACGCAGGAGACAGCCGTGAGTCGGAGGTTGAGCGCCAAGGGTGGCACCGGGTGCCCAGAGGCTGGGGCTCCAAACCCTGCTGCCACCCCCCTGCCCCCAGCAGGTGATTAAGAAGACCCGCTTCCCTCACTGGGATGAAGTGCTGGAGTTCGAGCTGGCAGAGGACGAGCCAGGGGACAGCATGCTGAGTGTGGAGGTGTGGGACTGGGACATCGTGGGCAAGAATGACTTCCTGGGACAGGTGAAAGCTGGATACATGTGGGGATACGTGATGCTCTGTGCCTCCCAGCTCAACCCCTGCCTGCGTACCCCAGGTAAAGGTCCCCCTGGATGCGTCGGGTCCCATGGAGGGCTGGTTCCAGCTCCTGCCCTTCCCCAGCAGCACCGAGGAGCCAAGGTGAGTGCTGGGCAATGGACAATGGAGAGTGACAGGGTGAGGAGCAGGGTGCAGCCATGCCTCCCCCATCACGCTGTCACTTTAGGGGACAGCTGGGCTCCCTGCGGCTGACGGTGCGGCTGCTGGAGGACAGAGTCCTGCCCCAGCACTGCTACCAGCCCCTCATCCAGCTCCTGGCCGAGCCCCTCCGCTCCCCAGGCCAGGTGGGTTCTGTGGGCTGGGGACACACTTGTACCATTTGTCCCCATGGTGGGTGACATCCCCATGCCCTCCTCACAGCCCGCAGCCAGCACGGCTCTGGCTGTCCTGGAGGAGGTGACCTCAGGGGACAGCAGGCAGGATGTGGCCACCAAGCTGGTGAAGGTCTTCCTGGCTCAGGGTCTGGCTGTGCCCTTCCTGGACTATGTCATCACCCGCGAGCTGACCAGAACCAGTAAGTGCTGGGGTCAGACCTGTAAATGCAGGGACTGGAGCATCTCCTGCAGACCCTCAGCTGGGGAACTGGAAGGGAAACCACCCTGAAGGCTGCCAGGGTGTCCCAAAGCCTGCTGTGAGGCCACCAAAGGGTTGGGCACACTGGGGACAGCTGAGGCAACCCCATGGCTCATGGTGGACTCCCTCCCAGCGGACCCCAATACCCTTTTCCGCTCCAACTCTTTGGCCTCCAAGTCCATGGAGCAGTTCTTGAAGGTGAGCCCAGGAGGAAATATCACTCCAGCACCCTGCGATGGCTTCAGGACATGACACAGTGCTGGGGACAGTGCGGGGACAGCAGTGGTGACCTCCTGCCCCATGCAGGCAGTGGGGCTGCCCTACCTGCATGCGGTCCTGAAGCCGGTGGTGAACCGCATCTTCGAGGAGAAGAAGTACGTGGAACTGGACCCCTGCAAGATGGAGCTGAGCCGTGGCAGGCGAGTGTGGGGATGTGTCTCCATCTTGGTGTCACCCACTGGTCATCTCAGTGGTCATGAGCTGCTGGTGTCTCCACAGGAGGATTTCCTTCAAGGGGTCCCTGTCAGAAGCCCAGGTGCGAGAGAGCAGCCTGGAGCTGCTGCAGGGCTACCTGGGGGACATGGTGGATGCCATCGTGGGCTCGGTGGACAAGTGCCCCCTCCTGATGAGGGTGGCCTTCAAGCAGCTCCGCAGGCGGGTGGAGGAGCGCTTTCCCTCACCGCAGCACGAGGTGGGGATCCCTGTGGGGCTGGGAGGGCAGCACAGTGCCGGTGCTGAGCTCTGTCCTTGTGCAGGAGGTGCAGTACGTTGCCATCAGTGGGTTCCTCTTCCTCCGTTTCTTCGCCCCTGCCGTCCTCACCCCGAAGCTCTTTGGCCTGAGGGAGCAGCATGCTGAGCCCCGCACTGGGCGCACTCTCTTGCTGCTCGCCAAGGTGCTCAGGGGAACGAGGACGTGGTGGGGGGACCTCGGGGAGGGAGGGGATTTGGGGCAGGGATGAGGCACCAAGGTGGGACAGAGACCTGAAGGTGGGATGTGGGATCAAGGAGGGATAGGGATGCCACTGAAGAACAGGGACCATAGGAGGAATGGGGACATCAGAAGGGATGGGGGCACCAAAAGGGATGGAGACCCCAGGGTGGGTGGGGACCTCAGAGGGCCAGGGAAACCCTGGAGAGGGAGGAACTGGGATGACTAGGAGGAATGGGGACCCAGAGAAGGGATGGAGACCCTGCAGGAGGATGGGGTACCAGGGAGGGATGGGACTCCAAAGATGGATGGGGGCCTGAAGGATGGATGGAGGACCAAGGAAGAATGGGGTTGCCATGAAAGGATGGGGACCCTGAGGGGGGATGGGGAACTCTGGAAAGGGATGGGGACCTTGGGGAAGGATCTGGACCCTGGGAAGGGATGGGACCCCAAAGAGGGACAGAGACCTGAAGGAAGGTGTGGGACCAAGAAGAGACACAGATGCCATGGCAGGACAGTGATCATAGGGAGGGATGGGGAGCACAAAGGATGTGGGCACAAAAAGGGATGAAGACCTCAGAGGGGATGAAGATGCCAAGCTGGGAAGGGGACCCCAGGGATGCTGGAAGACCCTGGGGAGGGAAAGGGATCTCAGAGGACAGTGACCAAGGAAGGACCAAGGATCCCAAGAAGGGCAGAGCCTTTCCTCCCCCATGCCACGTGCTTTAAGCTGGTTTGTTCCCACTGGGGATGAGTGCATTGAGCACAGCCACAGTTGGCTCCCACCACCTTGCATTACTCTGTTCCCCCATTTTCCTCCCCAAATCCCACTCCCATGGGCAGGCGCTGCAGAGCATCGGCAACCTGGGACTGCAACCGGGCAAGGAGCCCTGGATGGCCCCACTGAACAGTGTCCTGCTGCCCAGCATCACTCGTGTCAGAGCCTTCCTGGACAGCCTCATCGAGGTGGACAGCACGCAGGGTGAGCAGGCACCATGAGCACCACGGAATCCCACCCCATCCTGGGGATATGTCCTGTATCCTAAGGGATGGGAGCATCTTTGTGCTTTTTGGGGTGATGGTGGCACCCCAAATTGATGTCACCATCCCTGTGCCATGGCTACAGCAGGCGAGGGGATGTCAGTGGCACCTTTCAATCCCTCGGCCACAGTCAAGGAGGGTTTCCTGCACGCACGGGAGGCCGAGGAGCCCTCCCTGCTGCCCCGCTTCGCCTTCAAGAAGCGGTACTTCTGGCTCAGTGCCCAGGCTCTGTCCTACTCCAAGTCCCCCGAATGCCAGGTAGGTGTTGTCTGTTGTCCCCCCACCCTGCTGCAGGGTGCCAGGCTGTGGGTATGGTGACGTGCAGCATTCTGGGGTCTTCAGGAGCACAGCTGCATCCCAGTGGGGCACATACGGGCAGTGGAGCGCGTGGATGAGGGCACGTTCCCGCAGCCCCACGTCATGCAGGTGGTGGCACAGGATGGCACCGGGCAGCTGCGCACCACCTACATCCAGTGTAAGGTGTGGACATCCCCATCCCAGCACCACTGGGACCCCAACACTCCAGGCTGCCCCCCACCCAGTACCCCAGCACCCAGCAGCCACTGTGTGGGGGCAATGGGGGCAGCCCCAGTCCCAAGTCCTGCTGTACTGGGAACACTGGGGTGTCAGATTTTAGTAGTACTGGGGTCACTGCTGGGATCAGTAGGATATGCAGCTTTATCTGTAGTGGGGTTCACTGGGCTATCAGTTCTGGTTATACTGGGGTCACTAGGGCATCCAGTAGTATCTGTAGTGGGATCACTGAGGAACCAGCCCTATATACACTAGGGTCAATGGGTAGCACCCCTATCTGTACTGGGTTAATGAGGTGTACCTGCCTGTACTGAAATCTACACTGGGGTCATTAGGGTACCAGCTCTGAATGTACTGAGATCAATACTGGGTCACTGGAATACCAGCCTTGCCCATATTGGGGTCACTGTGATACTAGCCTTGTTCCCAAGTGCCACCACCCCACCAACTCCCACCTGTGCCATCAAACTGCCCCTCAGGGTCCCCGTGCCACCTTATGCCCACCCTGGGGATGCTGCATGTGGAACTGTGGTGCTGCCCAACACGATGGGTGCCAGCATCATGGGTGGGTGCCACCGCTGTGTCCCCACAGAGCGCACCAGAGCTGTGGCAGTGGCTGTGGGCTCTGCGCCAGGCCAGCAGTGCCAACGGGGCCATGCTGCCCACCTGCCACCCCGGCACCTTCCGCACCGCCCGCTGGACCTGCTGCCTGCAGCCCAACCGTGCTGGTAATGAGGACAGAGGGGACACGAGGGAGTCCCCAGTGGGTCCCCTCCACCCAACCCCGCTCTTCTCGATAGCTCCTGGCTGCAGCCGGACCCACAGCGCGGTGGCACTGGATGAGTGGAGTGACCCCCTGGACCCCGCAGCGGCGGCACAGAGCCTCTATGGGCACCTCCAGCGTGCAGGGACACGGCTGTGGTGGGGCTGCGCCCCTGGGGGGAGGCACCCATGGGTGTCATCCTCCCCTGGGTTCACTCAGCGTCCTTGTCCTGCAGGGAGGCGGTGGCAGAACCCGAGGGCAGCGTGGCAGTGCAGAGCCCGGAGCTGAAGCTTGGAGGTAGGAGAGCATGGGGATTGGGAGGGGGGGGAGTTATGGGGGGCGAGCTGCGTTGATGTGCACACATAGATGCACACACACAGGCACATGGACACGGGCTTTGCATGCACACTTGCACGCATGTACTTGTTGCAGATGCACGGTTGCACGCGTGCCCAATATACGTGCACAAGCACGCACACATGCGCACGCCATGCACACGCACAGCTGTGAGCCGTGCTTTCTCCACCAGGGGACAGCAAACCCCCACGGCCGCACGCACGCGAGGCCCCGGCCCTCGGCTGCACACACGCACGCTCCCAGCCGCGCGCACCCGAATGCACGCACGGAGACACGCGCGGATGCGCACAGCCACGCGCACCCCCCGCACACGACCCGGCACCCCGCCAAACGAGGCGTGCCGATGTCGGGGAGGAGGAGAGGCGGGAGGAGACACAGCGGGGTGGGACGGGGAGGGCAGTGGGTGTCACGGGTGGGTGCCGGGCGTCGCGGGTGGGAATGCTGACTCTGCACGGCCGCAGGTGGAGCCGTCGCGGAGCGGCTGCGGGCGGTGCTGCGCGATCTGGATGCGGCCCACGAAGCCTTCGCTCGCGGTGACGGGGTGTCGAACCCTCCCACGGCCACGGAGACGGACGCGGCCACGGCCACGTGAACTGAACTACAGCTCCCAGCATGCCCTGCGCCGCCAAGGCCAGCCAGCGTCGCGTCGCGCCGCAAAGCATTCTGGGAGCTGTAGTCCGCGCCGCTCTCCTCTGCCCACAGGGAGACGAGGCGGCGCGGCGAAGGCACCCCGCGGACACGGGGTGCGCGCACTCACACAGACGTGTCCGTGGAGCGCCGGGCCGCGCGCGCGTGTGTGTGCAGCGCTGGCACCTCTTGTGAGCGCCCACCGGGGACAGACCCCCGTGCAACCCCAGCCGGCACCCTTCCCTATCACGGCGCGGCACGGGGACGCGAGTGGGTGACGCGGGGACGCCGGGACGCTGCGGTGTATTCCGTAACACAGAGACGTACACATGGCACCCGCTGCACGCGGCTCCGTGGGGCACCGGGTGGGCGGAGAGGAAAGCACCGCGCTGCTGGAGGCCGGGCAGGGGACGGGGACGCGCGGCGGGTGGCACCGGGGGATGAACCCACGCGGGGCCGGCGGCGAAGCTGCAGGGACGGTGACACGGGGCCGAGGGGACGGCGGGGAGCCCCTCACCGTGGGCTCAGTCCTTGAGGGTGGCCTCGGAGACGCCCTGCGCCAGCAGCTCGGCCAGGACGTTGTCCAGGTAGTTGGGATCGGGATAGCCGTGACCCGTCAGGTTGGAGCCGAATTCGGTCTTGTGATGGATCTCGTTCCACACCACCGTGTCTGATTCTCCCGTGGTGTTGGAGGTGCCGATGGTGAAGATGAGCCGCCGGTCCCACGCCACGATCAGCAGCTTCAGCACCTGGGGGACGGCCATTGCTGCATCCCACCCCATGGCACGGCCACCCCCATGTCCCCATCCGTATGGCCACATCCCCGCCTGTGCCACCCCCGGGGACACGGAGCCGCTCACCTTCCTGCCCTTCTCGTTGTCGGGCAGGTAGCAGTGCCGGGGAAAGCCGCGTGCCGTGAACTTCTTGCCAGGGTTGGGGTGCTCTGGACCCTTTGGTGAGGACAGCAGAGGGGTGAGCGGGTGGCGTGGGGACACCCAGCCCTGGGGTGGGGCTGCGGGGGGCTCACCTGGATGCCGGTGGGGATGTCGTAGACTATCCGGATGGTTTTGGAGTCAGTGTAGCCCGGGAGGGAATGGGGGATGAGGTGGAACTCCATCTTCCCAGGGGGCTGCGTGCCTGTCTTCTCCCCATAGATGGCCTTGCAGGTGGGGCACTGCAAGCTGCCGTCCTGCAGGTACAGCCAGGGTGGGCACTCAGCCCCTGCCGTATGCCCTCAGACCCCGTGTCCACGTTGGCTCACCTTGTTGCCGTTGTTGTACATGGCCACGAGGCACAGCAGGTGGTACATGTGCCCACATTTGCCCAGCTTGCCCACCAGCTCCGGCTTGATGCCGCGGTGACTCAGGACGCCCTCGTAGCCCGAGGAGGTGACCAACCTCTCCATGCAGATGGTGCAGTCCTGGGGGGGCACGGGGGTCACCTCATGGGCGTCACACCAGGTTCTGTGCCCATGCCCTGCCATCCCGCCATGCCGGCTCACCTCATCCGGAGGGGTCTTCACTTTCTGGATGTAGCGACGCACCACATCCTCTGGGTTCTTGCCTGCCATGGATAGGGGTGTCAGTCAGACAACCCCCCCGCCCCCTGCCAAACCCTCCCTACCACCTCCTGCCTCTAGCATGGGGACAGTGACAGAGGAGGTGGCACAGAGGAGCCATGGGCAGTGACATCACCTTCAGGCTCGGGGGGCACGCTGCATTTCAGGCCATCCCCCCGACATTTCAGGTCCCAACCCACAGCACCACCTGTGCCTCAGTTTCCCCTCCAGCAGCTCCTTACTCCTTTTGAGGTGCTTCTTCTTGGTCTTCCTGCAGATTCCGCTGACCCCAGGCACAGGCTTGATGTCACTCTTGCTGACGGGCGGCGGGTGCAGGATGGGCTTGGGCGCACGGGTCAGGCAGACGGGCAGTCCAGCAGCACACATCAGGATGCCCGTCATCCCTGCACAGGGACAGGGGTGTCTGTCCGTTCCTTCCATCCCTGGCTCGACCCCTGAGCACCTATGGGTGCTCTATGGGACCCCACCCATTACCTGCCAGGGCGGGATGGACGGGGCCGGTGCCGTTCAGGTTCTTGACCGGGAGGGCTGGCACCCTGCAAGAGACAGGAGGAATGTCCCCTGGGTCCCGTCCTTTCTGCAGTGTCATTAGGGCAGCCAGGAGTGCATCTGGGCAGGTGCCTGTACACTCATGCATGCATCTCCTCCGCTGTGCACCCATGTGTGCAAAGCTGCACGGCTACAGCTTGGTGCGAGATGTGGGGTCGTGGGGACACATGGGAAGGTGGCTGAGGACACAGCAGGGATGTGAGGAGAGCAGGGATGGTGGGGAATGGGTGGATGGACAGACGGATAGAGAGACAGAAGGACAGAGATGAATAAGTATGTGGATGGATGGATGGATGGATGGATGGATGGATGGATGGATGGATGGATGGATGGATGGGTGGGTGGATGGGTGGGTGGGTGGGTGGATGGGTGGGTGGATGGGTGGGTGGATGGGTGGGTGGATGGGTGGGTGGATGGGTGGGTGGATGGGTGGATGGATAGAGATGGTTGTGGGTGTGTAGACATGGGGAGAGCCCCCACATCCCTGTTCACAACCCAGCAGCCACAACACAGACAACAGATCCCAGCCCCAAGGAAGGGTCCGTTGCGCGGGGACCCTTCCTGCCCCTGCAACAGGGGCCCAGGCCCCAGGCCATGCCACAACCCAGCCTTGCCTCTACTGCCAGTCCCTGCCCGCAGTTCCCAAGGCCACCCTCAGCCACACCAAGGCCATGTAAGGCAGTGGGGCCCTCACCCCTCCAGCCCCCTCCTACCTGTCCATGGGGACGCACAGCGCGGGGGCTGCGTGTCGACACGAGGAAGGCTTGGCCCAGGACACGGAAGCGAAAGCAGCACATCAACAGAGGAAGGAAACACGCCGAGTGCTTGGTGACCCTGCATGCCCCCCCTCTCCGCAACTCTGTCACCCCTGTCCCCAGCTCTGTCTGGCTGTGCGCTGTGGCTGCGGGCAGTGGGAGGGACGCAGAGGTACATGCCCACACCGTGTGATGCTCCTTGTGCCCCTGCTACCCCTGACCCACAGGTGTTCCTGCAGCACACACCCTGAAGCGGAGGTGACACTGTCAGGATGTCACCACCACCACCCAGTCGTGTCCCGCTGCATCTCCCAGCGCGAGGCCAGATCCTTCCTGCAGGGCAGGATGCCACAACAGCTCCCCATAGGGACCTGCCTGGTGGTACCAGAACAAACGCTCCGGAGCGACCCACCGCATGCTGGACGACAGGGACACAAGTCCCCCAGTGCTGGCACCTCATCTCCTGCAGCCAGCATGGCACGGCGTGGACTGGCACAACCAGGCACGGTGTGGCACGGCATAGAGCTGCACGGCACAACACAGGAGTGCAGCACGGCACGGCACGGCTGTGGTGGTGGTGACACGGCGCCAGCACCGGTGAGGCGACAGCTGGTGCTGCCAAGCAATCTGAGTGCACCTCCATGCCACCTCCCCACCGCCGTGAGCCCACCCCGCGCCACCTCAGCGCCGTCACATCCGTCCTCATCCCAGCTTACCCGGGGGGCACCGCGGTGCGGGCGCTACTGCCAGCCCCCCGCTGCGTGCCGGGCCGGTTGAGGTTATTGAGGCCAGGCAGCTGCACGGTGCCGGGCGCGCTCTGGCTGCACCCAAAAGCCCCAGCAGGCACCCTGGGTGCCTCCCCTTTGGCCGTGCCGCCCGCCGATGGCCACAACGTCGCACCGGCAAAGGTGCTGCTCTGCCGCACCGGCACCGTCCCCGTGCCGGCGTACAGCTTGCGGCGCTGCGAGGCCAGGATGGCGTTGGATGCCGCGCGGGTGCTGTTGACCAGCAGGCACTGATGGCACGAGCAGGGCTGCCCCGTGCTGCTGCCCACCGGCCACGACTGCGACTTGGGGATGGAGCCCATGGTCAGAGGGTACGCCAGGTCCATGCGGCGCCGCAGCCGGCGCCGGCGCTGCGTCTGTCGGTTCATCTGCGACATGCTGCTGAAGTAGATGAGGTAGCAGAAGCCCAGGGAGGAGAGGTCCAGCCAGGGGTGCTGCTTCTCGTAGGCGTTCTGGATGGTGATGCAGATGTCCATGTCGTAGGGCGTCCACGAGCTGTTGTCGTTCTCCCATTCCCACACGATGCCCTTTCCCGGTGCTGAGGAGGGGTCGTAGAAGTTCCTGCGCACCGGGCGCATGGTGCCTGCGGGGACACGGCTCTCAGCACCCAAACACCGCTGCCGTCCCCCAAACAGAGCCCCCCCCAGCGGCTCAGCCCCGGCGTCGCGCCCCTCTCCTCGCTCAGCCACACGCTGCGCTCCCGTCCCCGGCCGGCTGCACCGCCTGGCCCTATTAACGACTCTAATAAGGGTCATTAATCACCGCCCGGCCCAGCTGCCGCCGGGTGCTGAGGCAGCGCTGCCTGCAGCCCCATGGGGTCCGTGCCCCCGCCGCAGCCCAGCAAGTCCTCACCTGAGTCAGCTGCACGCTCACATCCCCATCCTGCTCAAGTCCTGTATCCCACTACCCGCTTGTGTCCACACCCCAAATCCCACTGCTGGCTCACAGCCACGCGCTGCTCACATCCGTGTCCTGCATTCTGCTGCCCACTGCTGTCAACATCCCAAATCCCACTGCTGTCTTGTATCTACATCCCAACTCTCACTGCTGCTCTCATCCCACATCCCACTGCCAATCCCAGCCGCATCCCACTCACATCCATGTCCCGCACCCGCTGCCCACCCGTCTCTGCACCACACCCCACCTCCCCACATCTCCTTGTACCCAGCCCACCCTCCCCACAGCCCGCTGATACCCATGCCCTGCACCTCCCATCCCGCTCACATCCACATCCTGGCTCCACTGGTGCCAGCATCTCCCCCCAGGTGTGTGCACATCCTGCAGGCACACCTCCTGGCTGCTCAGAACAGGGTCACCTCATTTCTCACACACTCCACTACATCCCAAGCCCACCCCACCATGGCCACACATTCCCAGAAGCACCCAGCACCATCCAGGCCAAGGAATGGGACATTTAGGGGCCTTGCAGATGAGCATTTACCAGCAGCGGGTCCTGCACCATCCCCATCCATCCCCCATCCCGAGCGAGTCTCCTGAGGTGCAGCTGGCACACATCACTTTAGTGGGTCATGGTTA